AATAATTGTGGAGGGCCCATCAATGTTGAAGGGGCTAAATAACCCAAATGAAGTTAGTTACAGAAGCAGAAGCGACCTGCTAAAGAGGCTGTCAGAATATGTGACTATAAGTGGCATTTACTCAGTTCAGATTCTTACAGAATCCAAAATGCATTTGCCTCTGTTCATCAAATCTTCACTTTAACCTCTGGAAGTTTCCGGAGTGTCAGAGATCACCTCGAATCTATAGACTTTTTTTTCTGCTGCACATTTTTACACAAGTAGACGGAAAAGCGTTTCTAAAGCAAGTTTACATTAAAAAATATATTAAAGATGTATTATGACAACAAATATTGATCAATTAGCATTATTTCGTCCACTTTTTTGGATATTTTTCTTTAATTAATCCAATGTTTAAAAGTATGAAACTGAGAAAATCTCTCCTTTCTGGTCTGATCTTGAGAGAACTTTGACATTCAGAAGGCTAGTTAAACACATAATAAGGACTAAAGTTATTTACATCACTCAAACCTGATATTTGCCATTTTGTAAGTTAGTTGTTCCACTTCGGCCAGGGTCTGGGAGTCTTTTATTTCCTGCCAGCAATGTGACACGTCCTTAAAACCGGCTGTAGTTAAATGTGAGTGGAAAAAGCTAGATGGTCGGCTTGTGTTATTGTTTGTTTTAAAAGATGCCGCCATCCTGCCCCTCAGGAGGAGCCATGGCGACCATGGAATTCTGGACCTGTGTTCCGGAAGCTTCTCAGAACCATTTCAGATAGTTAGTAACTTTTCCTAAAAATCCATGTAGTAGGAGTCCTAACTTAACCACAGTTATTGAGGACCAATCACAGAGGTTTTCCTAATGAGTTTATTTTTTTTCCTCATAGTGAGGAAAAGAAATAAACTCATCGAGGGAAGGACATGGGATTTAGCTGGTTGCTATGTGTCAAACATGTTTTTGACAACAGTGATTATGTTTGAAAAAGTAAAAACACACTCAAATTTTTTTTGTAAAGACTCTCCTAAAGATGTTAGATCTTGCCTCCAAAAATTAGGGGAGTATTTCCCTTTCCCAGAGAAAGATGGAGACCATTTTGGCCAGGTTGGAATGGAAACACAGCACATTAGGATCACATTTGGTCTCATCCCGTTTGAGCAAAATGAATTACATTTAAAAATCTAAAAGTATTACATTTTTTAAAATCTAATTAGGTACACGACGAACCTAAATTGTGCATAAAACCTTAACGTCCACAACTCGTATCAGCGGCCAAAACATTAAGAGATAAAGTAAAAGGAGACCCTCTCTGAGACCTAGAAGGAGAAATTAGTCCAATGAGAAAGAAAAATAACCTTTAAAATATTCACTTGTGGAAAGTTACCAGACAGAAATTAAGAAAGGGATTATACATATATTGATTTCCCTAAAATGAGCTAAATGCTAATAAACTATAAACCACGGTACCCATATGAGGCTCATTAGAAGCTGTCAACAACTAAATAAACATAAACAACAGCAATTATGAGCCTTTGGAGTGTTTTCACACGGTGTTTGCAGCTAGATGGAAAAGTTGTGTCACCCACAGCGTGAGAGCCTTTAAAAGGTTTGTTTTGCAGTTTGTCCAATTAAGATAGAACCCAAACAAGCCATTAACATGATTAGACATGAGAGGAGCATCTGATGTGTCTAAAAGTGTGATTAAGAATTTTAATGGGAGAAAAACAACGCTTATAGAAGGCTCAAAGAGACAGCCATAAAAGAAGCAGATATGGTTAGCGGACCGGATTTAGCCAAGAACAAGATTTGGGAGTTGGTCAGGTGTGTGTTCAACAATCTCATGTGCCCAGCACGTGATGCGGTCACTAATTGGAATGACAGAACCGAGGGGGTACAGGTTTTCTCCCCTGATGGCGCCGGAATAATCAAAGGGGACGATGCCAGGATTAATCCAGTTTTCAAACTGGGAAAGAGAGCTTAATACAAAAGAAAAAAATATATATTTTTTTATATAATTTTTAATTTAATTTTATTTTATTTATTAATTTATTTTTATTGTTTAAAAATATTTATTTTTATTTTTAATTAATTTATTTTTTTATTCAAAAAGAAAAGAAAAAAGAAAAAAGGTTAGGGTTGAATTAATTTGGAAAAAAGGAAAAAAGGAAAAAAAGGTTTAGGGTTAGGGTTAAAAAAATAATAATAAAACATTTTTAAAAAAGAATTTCTGCATGGTTGTGATTTTTTTCCCATGGCCTGCAATTCTGGACAGAAGACTTCCAAGGATTATTGAAACAATTTTATGTGTATGCGTGCTGTACTTCCAGCTAAAGTCGGTCCGGGAAAATATTAGGTGAGATTTTTCTCTTCTTTTTTTTTTTTTAAAACTTGGCAGTGTTTCATGCGGGTTGTCACAACAATTATTAAGGTCAGTTGGATAAATTCATTTCGCGATATGATTCATTTCTGGGATTAATGTCAGAAACTGGGCCGACAGCCCGAAGGTAGAAACTTCACACCTGTCAGCCAACACCAGCGTGAACGGAAAACTGGGCCAAATTAGAAGTCACCTTTTTTTTTTTCTTTGGGATTTAAAAAATGTATTCGATTTGTGTGTGTGAATCTTTCAGTTCAGGCTAAAGTTATAAAACTCTCCGTGTCTAGAAATGAGCTGCACCTCTTCCAATCCCTGCTACCAACACTGTACCAGACAGAATATCCAGCAGGTTGAAATAAATAAGTGATGAGGTACACTAAAAGTATCCTGGGACATGATGCAATGAAAACCAAATCCCCACGGGACTGAAATGTGAGGGGAAATGAGGCCTTTAAACCTCCCAGAATTTGAACCCTCAGCTACAACAGGCTGAATAATTCATGGCCTTCTCTTGACTGCGGTTGTAAACAGACAGACTGAATGGATTTTACAAGTATTTACTGCCGGCACATTTCTCTGCACCCTGAAAAGACCCTTCTGAAAAGGGCTTTTTTTTTTTTCACCGGAGAGAAAAATGAATCATTTATATATTCATATTTCTCGAGAAAAAAAATAAAATATCTGGCTCAAAATTACCACATAAATGTAGCTTTCATTATTCCGGGTTTTAATTCAATGACCGAACGGCGGAGGCTTACGAGCGCTGTGGTTTAGAGCCAACTCTGAATGATGGATAACAAACCAAAGGAATGAATGAATCCACCTTTGGTACCCCGGCTCTCAGAAATCTAAATGATTTTCCCTGACCTGACCCCTTTACCTGCTACGTTTCCTTACAAAAGCTGCACAGAGGAGGCCCTTACGCAATGGTTTCCTCTCAAATGTTCACAGGCTGAGTAAGTAGCAATATGTGGGTTTTTTTCCACTTTTTCCAGCTCAAAGCCAGGCGGTGGGAGTTAGCCGTCGCTGAGTTTTAATGGGAAAGGTCAGCCCAGGTCTCCCGGTTGGACTCGTGGAGAGTAACACGGATAATTACGACATCCCTGCACATCCTTGTGCGCGTTAGTTCAGCGAGTGTTGCCACACGGCCGACACACAAACAGAAAATAAACAGATTAAAACACACTCGCTCTATTAAACCTGCAATCCTCTGCACACTTAAAATACCTTTTTTTTTTAAAAGAAAGAAAAGCGGCTCCCGTGTAAGAGAGAAATTGGAACTCAAAGTTGATTGTGGAACCTCCCGAATACAACCAGCACGCACACACACACACACACACACACCCCAGAGTGCTGAGACAAGCAAACCCCAGTGACTCACGTCCAGACGCGTCCACAACCAGTTAAATTTAGAGGCAGGATCAAGCAAACATGAGCAATCCACACATTTGGATTTCCTTTGCGAGGACATGTTTTAAGCATCATGTCTACTGGCATTTCTTCTTTCTTTTTTTTTACCAAACATTAAAATGTCTGAATAGATGACAGCTTTCACACTGGCGTGTGGAGAACTGAACACATCCTCAAACACAGAAGGAAGGAAAAGAAGATAAAACTTGTGTCATAGTTTGCTTTGAGTTTTAAGTCATTAACTTATTCTGTTCTGTTCTGTTTAGGCAACTTCATTTTGTTAACATGCTTCCTTTTTTATTACATTTTTTGCATTTCAGACCAGAAACACATCGTTAGCCCGATTCTTTAGTTGGATCGAAACTATAAAAAATTAAATTTCTTAGGTCACAGGTAAAGTATAAATAAAAACCTCTCTCTGGGTCTCAGTCAGCAAAGAGCCCTGAGATCTGGGTGATGGGCATTATCTCCTGGGCTAGGTCCGCCTCCTCAAAGGAGGACTGGACACAACCAAGTCCTATTGGCCAGTTACCTCTGGACATAAACAGGCCAGGTCCTAATTCATGTAGATGACATTGGAATGTGGTAAAAAAAATGGTGTGTGTTTGTGTTGACCTAAAGGTGTGGAACAAAGAAAAGAAAAAGAGAGAAAAAGAGAGTCTGTGGGCACAGCCAGAGACTTTAACAAAAAGAAAAGTTCTAAAAAGAATAAGACAATGAGTAATTAATATAGATTATGTTACAGTGTACTATTCTAAAATGAGTCATTTTAGCCAAATTCTAACAACAACAAAATGGGAAAAACTGTAGAGCTTACACCAAATGACAGCAAATTAGCTAATTAGTTTTATAAATGAGCCCTAAACATGTCCTACGTCCATCAGCATCCAAACAGCATCGTCACTGCTTATAACTTACAATATTGACTAGAAAATGTAAAAGTAATCCGTAGTAATAAGGAAAAAATAGGTTATTTGTACTTTCAACCTACATGAATAAGATAAAAACACATGTGAATGTTTGTAAATACATTTTGCACATTTTGAAAAAAAACTCAGTTTACAAACAATGCTTTTCTTCTTTTTTTTCCCTACTCAGTACTTTTAGGATGCGGCAATACTTTGATGCTTTGAGTCTTTATGACGGCAACATAAAACCGAGTTATCTTTAAGATAACTCAGTTAATCATCAGCCAAAGGGGAACAAAAAAAAAAAAAGATTCATACCAACGAGCTTGGCAGGGGGAATTGCAAAAAAGGAGAAGAAAGGTTTGAGAGTCAAGTACGGAAGTGAATATGACCAAATATGGCCCGGGGCCAGACGGGCCATCCTATCAGAGGAGAGACGCGGGTGCGAGGATCCATCTTCCACCGCGGAGCAAAGCGAGCGCGCAGAGGGGGAACCCGGCCGGAAAGTCTCTCCAAAAGGAAAAAAAAAAGAGGGTCAGACTTTGGACATGCTGCTTTCGGAGTCGGAGGATGAAATCGACTCGGACAGCCGCGGCCTGGATGAGGACTACAGACCGACGGGACCGGACAAGTGAGTGCCCCGCGCGCAAAAGCCCCCCAAAAAACCCCACGGGCTGGGCTCGGTTGCTCAGTGGCTCAGTTCACCGACATCCTGCAGCTGAGACCTGATGTGTCAGGACTTGTGCAGAGGGGGTCAAAGGAATCCCGGCGCGCTCCCGCCCGTTACGCGTAAAAATCGGCGTTATAGGCGCAAGAGCGCGCACAACTAAAGATGCGGGGTTTGTCTTTTGTTGCAACTCGGTGCGCGTTTTTTTCTCCGGTCTGAAGGGCCGCACAAAAGGTGCAGAAAGCCCCGCAGAAACACAGGAAGGCCGCCGGGTGTTTGCGTGGTTTTTTTCGCTCGGCTGCGCACAGAACTCGCGTTTTTTTTTTCTTTTCTGCAGCCCGTGCTCTCAGTTAGACCTCCTGACATCATGGGGGACAGATTGAGACGTTGCTCTTTGTCACGGAGCAGTGACCCCCCCCGCCCCCCCCCCTCCCGCCAGGCCGGCTGTCGGCTCTTTAAATGCGGCCCAGTTGATGGGGAAATTAGAATGAATGGCGGAGAGGGGTGTTGGTCAGTTCAGACGTGTGTGCATCATTAACTGAGCTGAGAAGACTTAAGTTTGGCAAAAAATACACACGGGAACACTTATGACAAAAGAACAACAGAAGAGTGTCCCTTTTTTTTTTTTTTGCATAAATGTAGAAGGGTAAACACAGATTATGAGCTACATGTGACGCCTTTACCCAGTGGAATACGCCATAAGGACGGCCTTTCTCTGGAGAAAGAAAAAAAAAAGCATTAAAGTTGGCCAGGATGTGATTAACTAAATTTTCAGTAAAAGCAATTATAGAGTTGAATTTTTTTTTTCTTGCATACAATGAGCAGATGGCAACGTTTGTTTTTTGTAGCTCGTCTGTTAAATGAAATACCTGACATGTGAAGGTAGCTTATCTCACTCACACAGAAAAACAGAAAAAGCTGACAGTCTGTCCAACCAGTCTGATTTAAAGCAACACACAAAATGAATGAAATTGCAATATAGCCAGACGGAGTTAAGACCGATCACGTGTTGGATCTTTTGTTTCTTTACTGAGGCTTCATGCATGTGCGTTTGTCCACTTTTAGAATCGGTATGCTGTTTTAGGACCACAAACCGAGCAGAGTGGGGCTCTGAAGGGTGTCCTTACACGTCCTGAGATTCAGAGCAAAGCACTGAACTAAGTTTGGGTCCAGAGCCAGGGCTGAAAACCAATCTAAAGCTGGCAAAGCTCAGCATTTGTTGCTTTTTCCCCTTCAATGTTCCACAACCTGCTTTTCAGCTTGACACACAAAAGGTTTGGGTTAAACAATGAAATTAAACGGTGAAATTACGGGCGGTTTAAAAGCTTAGGACGCTTCTGCAAACGCCGAACGCGGGTTTTTCCTGACGGTGGCGACCGCTGTACACACTCGGATATAAGTGGAGGTTATCGCCACAGTGGATTCTGTCATATCGCTGCACCACTCTGGCAGTCATAGGGACCCAAACGCCCCGCGGGGTTTCTGAATTGTATGATTACATAGAGCTGTCACTAATCTCTGAACCCCCTCTTAAAAAAAAAAAAAAAAAAACTACAATGAAAGATATCTTCAAATTCTCTCAGTAACAGACCCCACAGCCAAAGGCCAAAATAAGAAATCTTTGGCTCTAGTGATAAGAGACACTTGGATGAAATATAGTGAGTCTCGTATCACCAGGCTAGAATGAGGTTTGAAAAAAGAAAGTATTTCTATGATGCCGGGTGTATCATTTTAGGTCAAAGTAAAACGAAACACTCTGAATGTTGTGTGTGGGGAACATTGGGTTGCATTTTGACGGCTCCATTGGTGGGGAATGCGGGGAGGAAGTGGTTAAAAATAGAGGTAAGACGGCAATCCTGACTTGAATCGGTCATTGTACGAAGCATGTTTAACAACCTCCGTCCACTTTGTGTGCAGGGAGGACTTCGGTGGGGAGGAGAGTTCGGACAGAGAGTGGGACTGCAGACCTGCGAAGAGACGGGCCTCCAGAAGACAATGCCGCTCTGTGTACGCCACCCCTGTGAAATCCGCCCCGAGGAAGTGGGAGCGGACTCCCTGCAGAAAGAGACTCCACTACGAGCTCACGCCCACAAAAGACTCCCCCTCCCCCGGCGCCGCAAAGAGGCCCTCCACCCCGCGCCGGAGGAGTCCGAAGCCGCGGGCCGGAAGGCGGGCCGGGACCCCCAAAGCGCGGGACGAGGAGGAGGAGGACCGTTGGCGCGATATTGACGAGGAAGACGTCGAGCCGCCGCAGCCCAAGTTCAGGCCCGAGCGGGATGTGGGGCCCCAGCTGAACCGGACGGCCAACTACACCCCGCTGGAGCTGTTCCAGCTCTTCTTCTCCACCACGGTCATCGACACGCTGGTGAAGAACACCAACGCCAACGGCGCCAGGAAGTGCCGGGGTCAGCGGGAGAGCTGGGCGCCGGTCAGCGCGGCGGACATGTACTCCTACATCTGCCTGGTCATCTACATGGGCATCGTGCCCCTGAAGACCCTGAAGGAGTTCTGGAGGGGCTCCCGGCTCTTCAGCCTGCCCTTCCCGGCCTCCGTCATGCCTTGCCGGCGATTCCTGGCCATCTCGCGCAGCCTCCACATGAGCGACCCCACCAGCGAGGCCGCCAACGACCGCAAGAAGGGGACCCCGGGGTACGACAAGCTTTTTAAGATCAGGCCGCTGTACGAGCAGATTTTGGAGGCCTGCCACACCTTCTTCCACCCGTACCAGCAGATCTCCATAGACGAGCGCATGGTGGCGAGCAAAGCCCGGTTTGGATTCAAGCAGTACAGTAGAAACAAGCCCACGAAATGGGGCTTCAAGCTTTTCGTCCTGGCCGACTCCACGTGCGGCTACACCTTGAACTTTTTCGTGTACGGGGGAAGAGGCGGGGAGCCCACGGGGAGGGGGCTGAGCTACGACGCCGTCATGAGGCTGCTAGACATCCCCTTTCTGGGGAAGGGATACAAGCTCTACGTGGACAACTTCTACACCAGCCCCACCCTTTTCCTCGACCTCCTCCAGAGGAAGATCCTGGCGTGCGGCACGATCCGTCCCAACGTCGTGGGCTACCCCAAAACGAGCAAGAACAACATGCCCGAGAAGACCCCCAGGGGAACCATCCGCTGGCTGAGGAAGGGCCAGCTGCTGTTCGTCAAGTGGTTCGACACCCGGGAGGTGACGGTGTGCTCCACCATGCACAGGGCGCACGCCAGCGACGTGGCCAAGCGCAAGGTGAAAACCGCCGACGGGCAGTGGACGGTGAAGCACGTCCCCATCCCGAGCTGCATCCGGGACTACAACCAGCACATGGGCGGGGTGGACCTGTCGGACGCGCTCATCGGCTACTACAAGGTGCTCCACAAAACCCAGCGCTGGTACAAGACCCTCTTCTACCACTTCGTGGACATAGCCACCGTCAACGCCTTCATCCTCCACAAGGAGATGTGCAAGCTGCAGAGTCGGCCCGTGCTGACGCAGAAGGCGTTCAGGGAGCAGCTGATCCTGGCCCTGGCCGAGATCGGCTCCGCCCCCCGCCGGGCAGGCCCGCAGAGCATACTGTGGCCCGTCTTGCCGTTCACAGGGCCTCCGGCCGCCGGCCTCGAGGCGGCGCCCGGCTCCGGGGGGTCTTCCGCCGACCTCGCCACTGCCTCCGGCCCTCCGAGTCTGGGCCACCTCCCGTCGTATTTCTCCGAGCAAATGAGCAACGTGGCCTCCAGGAGCAGGGCCACGGCCGGACGGCGGGCCTGCGTGGTCTGCAAGAGAAAATCGCCGGTGTTCTGCAGCGCCTGTCACAAAACGCTGTGTTTCACCACGCTGAGGAACTGCTATAGCAAATGGCACCGAAGCAACAACATCTGCGCCTGAACGAGAACAGAGTCGGTTCGTAAAGGCAGAAATGTGCTCAAATGCCTCCAAGTACTGCAGGTTACAACGGTATAGCAAACAGAAAAAGAGAGTGGACCTAATTAAATCTGCCTGAAAGGAAAAATCCAGTATTTCAGATCAGAAAATCTTTAAGGGTGCAGCAGGAAGCAGAGGGACGATGCACCACTTGATCTTAATGAGAGGTTACCCAGAAGTGTGGAATAATTGCAGGTCGGAGGTGTTGTTAACCCGATTCTTTAGTTGGATATCTGAGAATATACAAGAGTAGACCAAAAGTACAAAAATAATATTTATTGGACACAGTTAAGTATATCAGCTGGGCTCTAACAGACAAAAACCTCTCTCTGGGTCTAATTAAGCAAAGAGCCCCGATATCTGGGTGTGATGGGCATTATCTCCTTGGCTCGATCCGCCTCCTAAAAGGAGGACTGGACACAACCAAGTCCTATTGGCCAGTTACCTCTGGGCATGAACTGGCCAGGTCCTAATTCAAGCAAATGACAGGAATGTGGTAAACTAAATGCATTTGTGACCCAAAGTTAAAACGGGACTTACCTTCTTGGACCTGCTGATGCATTTGACTTTTGCCCTGCAGATTTCTACAAGCACTGAAATGTTCACTGTCCATTTAAGATTTCATAGTTTGAGCGATTCGACGCTAGACTCTTCGCCACCTCAACTAGTTTTTCCATCAATGTGAACAGTTAAACACGAAGCAGCTTCCAGGCTACATTTCTCCATCTCAGGTTCATTTTTTTACTCCAAAAGCTACTTCTGCTACCTCAGTACTAGTACAGTTTACCTCATCGCTTTGTCCCCGTTAAGCAGAAATTAGAGCTGTAAAGATAAAAAAACGAAACACTTTGAATGTAGTTTTTTAGATGTGACATTGTTGTGGCACTGAAACAAAACCCGTCTGGTTTTATTTTGGATGTAAAATGTCGCCATCTGCATAACCATAAATTAAAGCAGGAAGCAGTGGACTTGAACAGGAACACTGGAAAGATGAATGTTTTAGATTTGAATCAACCATCTGGAGGATGCGGTTTGTAGAAGTTAGTCTTGAATGGGGAACCAGTTAGGAAAAAAAAGGCAAATTTGCCTTATCTAAAAAAAACAACAAGTATGAAAAATGTTTAAAAAAGACAGTTGTGTAGAACAATATACTGTAGATCTTGCCAATATATGTAATAATGAGGACCTAAATGGACGGGTCAGTTGGGTATCAGCTTCACTGTCCCTGCAGTGAGTCACAGAGGAACGAAAGTGGCACTTTGCATGGTGAGAGCAGTTTGTTCAGTCACCTCCCGTTTCTCACTGACTCAGATGCCAATGTACTCTACACTTACTAACTAGTGAACTGCAAAAGCACTTATATTTGAACAAATCAGATTCACCAACCAACATGATATCCACTACCCTTGGAGCCGTATTCACAGACTAGATTGCAGACATTAGAAGACAAAAAAAAACAGACAGGAAACTGATCAAAGTGATAAAGACAGCACAGTGAGCCCTGTTCAGTAAGAGAAATGAGATATAATGACTTGATAACCAAATTTTGGTGGAGCCAAAAGCTTTAAAACTCAACCAATTAGTTAGGAAGTTAGGAAAAAAAATACTGTATTATAGTATGAAAACATGCTTTGACCACTTTCTTGTAAAACTGACCAAACACAAACTCTATCATATTTTAAGGACATTTCTTTGTTTTTACAGAAGTATATAAGAAATAAAGCATTCATAATAAAGTATTCCTCTGTGCCCATGTGAAGTGAAATGTCTTATGGAGATAAACGGATCCCCGACTGACAAAACTAACCCATTTCTGAACCAGTGTCCAAAGGTTCAAATAAGTACTGTGTTCGTGTGTTGGTTCCACCTAGTTTGAAATGCCTCTTCAGTATTTTACATGAAACGTGTGTATTTTAAGTGGACCACATTGTACAGTCGCCCGCTCACGTCTTCATTTAAAATCTAACTCTGTACTGTTTGTTCATGTTCTACATGTGTTTTTGTGCGTATTTGTGTGTATTTGTGTGTGCATATGCTGGTATCTTTTGTGTTTGTTAAATAAAAAAAGGTTTTATACGAAAGGGCTCCGATTATTTTAAGATATCGCGAGAAACTGTTCGGAGATGGGATTCAGCTAAACCAAATATGCAAAATAATGGCGGGGGGGTCATGCAACTTTATGCCAATCTATACAGAAGTACTCGTGTACATATATATATGTATATAAAACAGAATTCCTTGTCAGTTCCATGTCATAAGCCTTCCAGTTTGAATCACAACTGAAGTGCTCGACTCAGATTTCACTCTTTGTTTACACCACAATTTTTAGCTCCAAATCTCCTACAGGGAATTTCCACACCTCTTTCTTCTCCGATGCCATTGTTCAGTAAACCTGGTATCGTATAACGCCCGGATTTTCTGAGCCACTGAATCTCTCCTTATCAGGGGTTAAAGAAATGTGCACACAGGAATGTGATGCAGTTGATTAGGAGTCTGTACGGGAGTCTTTATGGTCTGATCCACTTCCTGTCTGATGCAGGTGTCTGGGCCTCTGTAACACATCGTACATCCACAAATTTCTAGTTTTACGTCCCTTGTTTTAGATTATCAATTGTGATATGAGGTAGTATCGGCTACATATCAGCTAATATATGTGTTGTAGACACAAAAGAGGCGGAATATGAGACATCCTTTAAGGGGCTTGAACTTTGAAACCAGAGCTGTCGCCTGCCTACACAATGATCTAACCATCAAAATAAAACATCAAAGTCTTATTTCCGTGTAAACACTCTGAAGGCAAACAGAGCCTGCGGTAAATCAGCGCGCATGTTAATAATGTTCCTGGAAAAGAAGTCAGTTTTCCCCAGTGAGCGCAATGTAACCGTATGCCTTAACAGGTTATTGGACCGTTGGTTGAGCTAGCATGTTAAACACTATGAGACAGCAACACAAAACAGGAAGCAACCTTAAACGCAGACTTTTGAAAAAAATATGGGGAATTTATCGCACATCAAAGCGGCGCTTTGCATAATTAGACCCCGAGCTTGCTCAATATCCTAAACGCCGTGTGTATAAATACACTGACTAACCTCATTTGTCTTTTAGCAGCGGAATAGCGCATGTAACAGTTGCCTTGACATTTGCTGAAAAAAAAAAAAAAACGTGATGGAGTGTGAATGTTCTCCTCGATAATAGCTGCGTGAAATGACGGAGAAACAAAGTGATGGAGCTCAAACAGATCCACCTCCTGTCTGACGGAGGCCTTATTTGAGCGTGTGCATTGGGGAGCCTGTTATGGCTCTGATTAATAACCGGATAGCTACCTTCACGCGCGCACGGCGGCCTCTCAGATGGGCTAATGTCGCCCGAGCATCCCTCTTGCGATTATACGTCCTGTGTCTGCTAGATAAGAGGCTGCCTAACCATCTGCCAATCACGGCCCCAGACTGTGTTCGGCTTCCCTCTGAATGCTAAATTGGGAGCCATTCAGCAGCTGCCGCACGGAATCTCATATATCAGCTCGTAAAGCAGAGGATTCGGCGAGACAACGTTTTTGTTTCCGTTTCACCGGAGATTAATAATCTTTCAGCAAAGCGGAAGGAGTTCTGTCCGTGGCCAAATGTTGGGCTGACGATTT